TTTATTTTCCTCCTTGCCTTTGTCTTCCCTTACTTCAATACATGAGTGGAGTTTCTCGATGGCAAAAGGTGCTATTGCATCTTTTTTCAGAGAATGCCTTTTTATGCTGGTACCTTCCCCTTCTTTCTGTAATCTCCTATTATCCTGAGCTTTCTATGACAACACACTCAGACCACCTTCCTCCTCTGCCATTCCTCACCATGTTTTCTTGCTGTCACTTAAAATCCTCCTTTTACCCTCTTAACCTTATTCCAGACTGACCCCATTCCCTTACACAGATTTACTGACTCACAAATCTCTCTTCTCCACTGACCTCTTTCCTGCTGCTCAGCTTCTCATCTGGACCTTTCAGAGCCAATACAAATGCAGACACTCACCTTTTCTCCCATGCCCTCTTCTCTCTGGCTGTCAATGCAAATCATGTACAAAAAACTATCCTGAAAGAATGCCAAAATTGCAAGTAAATACTTAAAAGTTATGAAATACAAGAATCAAAATTTCCTCAGCAAGCAGTCTTAATAAACCACTATATAAGAGAAAAGACAGTTTAATAATTTATCAGGTGGGACAGTTGTTCAGATTCTCCCATACAAGTTCAGAATAGTCAGAGAACCTCCTGGCACAGATACTGTCCCTTTCGGAGGAGTAGGTCTCTAACTAGGCCTACCAGCCCCATCAGGGTCTAAAACACTTTGCATATACCCAAATTTATGCAATAATGGCTAAAGTTTGCATTCCCCAATGAACCATGGTCACCAGCACTATGGTAACCCCACAGCTATTCGCCCCTCTGGATTTATGGCTCCATTTTAACTTCCATGGGGGCTATGACTCCCTTCACAGGTACCCTAAACCTATTAGGCAACTTTTGCAGTAGTGTCTTTGCTCGATATTTGGAAAGTAGGGTCATGAGCACCTTTCTTCTGCCACTGGAATGAGAGGATATATACAAGTACAGGAAGCCATTAGAAACAATCCTATAAATGCCTGAAAACCTACTCACACAAATACTTTCAGATGAGCTCATGCATGTAACACAAAAGGCATTAAGCACTGAAGCTATGACTGATACAACCCTGCCAGTGAAAATGACAAAATCAGAAAAGAGGAAGGAAATGTCCTTTAACCTTTTCCTACATGTGCTCACCACACTGCACTTATGTCTCACTCAGTCTTTAAAAATGCTGACTTTTTAAAATGTCCCGCTGTTGGTTGCCTGCACTATATGAAAGGCCCTTAGAAATAGTCTATTTTCACAAAGAAAAGTAAGCAGGACTCTGCTTTCAGAGCCTACCCACTTAGTTTGCTGTAAAACCTAGATGATGTAAGCAGAAAAAAAAAATTCAAGAAAAATTCTGACTTGAGTGTCCCTTCATGCTGTAATATCATGCTTTAACACACCACTATGATATCCTTGTAAACCATCGTATTAAGGAGCAGACATAGGCTCTATTAAGCCTAATAAACTATTCCTCTTTTATCGATCAAAAAGCTCACTTCAAAATTGTTTGTATTACAGAACTCTTTATACAAGCTTGAAGGACAATTCAAAAATAATTGTGAACACTGGTGTTTGCAGTGTACATTTTTACCTATTACTCCAAGCCATTATTTTGTAAGAATACAGGCCACTTACAAGCAATTTGATGTAAGCCTGTAAGCGCAGATCCCTTAAAATTTTTGTTTCAAAGAAAGCCATTCCACTTATCTCAGAGGGGAAAAAAACCCCCGAGGGTTGTGGTTTGGGGATTTTTTTCCATAGATACATACACACACTTGGTAGCTGCTATTTCTAGTTCTATTACAAGCCATACGCAGTCTGGCTGCATCCAGATGGAATGTAAGCGAATTCAATACTGGCAAAAGACTTATACTAGGCTGTTTGCCTCAGAGGCAGAAGTCTACATCTAAAACTTACACACAGAAGGTCTGAGGCTGCAAACAGGTTTGGAAAGCACTAGCAGGTGACATGCTAACCAAGCAATCATTGTCATTATGAATACTAAAACATCTGTTTAGTTAAACTTCTCATTCAAATTTGGGACAGGGTCATGAATATTTTTCAGCTGAGATCTTCCAGAAAGTAACTGAGCCAATATTATTCTGTTTTCACCATGCTTTTACACAGTTACCGGATCGCAACAAACCGAGTGCATTGCATAACAAGTTGAGTCACACTATTGTTTCCAAAGCAGATAAACTTCGTATTTATTCTTTGAATACACCTGTCACTGATAATTTAATCTAGGGGTTTGATGGTATATTGTAATTCTTCCTCTCACTGCTACGGCATTCTAAATCAAAAAATAATTAACATATTTCTTTTGTTTATCAAATTCCTCTGGGTACTGAGCTTTGCTCAACTTCAAAAGACAAAGAAATGCTAATTTTTATTATTGTTAAAAACAGACCAATAAAAGCACTAACATTTCAAAGCTAACGCACTTTCTGAATTCATGGAAGAAGACAGTGAGATTTTGTTCTTAGAAGTCTTTAGTGAATTGTGGAGCTTAATCTGAAAGATTTCACATCAAATGGACTGAGTGCTCAGAAGTTCTGAAAATCAACACCCTTTAAAAGCCGTCTAGCTCTGTAAACCATGATGAGAAACTTGCAATAATCCTCTTGAAAATTCAGCCTACTATTCCTAACCCTATGTCCAGATCAACTAGTGTTACACTCCTGCAATCCTGACAGGCAACTCAAGTTGAGGGTGCTTGGCACCATCTCAGCAGCACTCAGCACTCTGTGTGATCAAACCAGACAGCTAATACAGTTCAGACTAATGCAGTGACTGAACATACAAACAAAACAGGTTGAGGCAGGGCTATTTTAAGTCTCTTACTTAGAAAAACCATAAACAAGCAGCAAGAAGGTTTACAAATTGCTTGTATTTTATGAATGTGAACAGGTCAGAAAAAACATAGAACCAAGAAGGGGACTGTAGTTTCAAATGGGTAATGCTGCAGAAAGTGGGGGCGGGGGGCAGGGAGAAGATTATTTTGAAAAGCTATTTTGAGGAACGGAGCAGAGTTACAGAGCAGACAAAACTGCATAGTGCTTTGAAAGAGAAGCCTTTGGAATTTGTACTTGAAAAGAGAATGCTGCATATATATGGCGACAAAGGCATCACAGGAGTTTGGAAAAGATGGATAGTTCAGTTCTGGTCAGATTGAGCTGGTAGAGCAGGAATAAACATAAGATGAAATACCAGAGTCCTAAGTTAGAAAAAGGACTAAAAAGAGAACAGGACTGAGAATGCAGGTAGTTTTGAAAGAGAACAGAACAGATATATAACATGACAACATGCAAACTGTAACATCCTTAATTACGAAGTCATGAATGCACAGCACGATTTTCATGCAAGTAGTTAAAGAATTTTAGGTGGGATTTCTTTAAATAACACAAGACTTCATTATGCAAGAAGGGACATGGAGAAGAAAATGGAAGAAATGAGTTTTTGAGGGCCAGGCAATCGGCAATGAGATACACCAGCAGATATTTAAAGTGTAGGGAAACAGGAAAAATTCATGTAAATGATGCATACAAAGCCTATTTACGCATCTGACAGAGGGGATAAAGCATACGTTTGACAAAGGCACTGCTAGATATCTTCTGATAAAGCAATGTTTGGACTAGACTCCTAAAATATGATGGAACAAAGGGGGAGATAAGTGACCAGCAGACATACTAATTATGTTTAATGAACAGTCTCTGTAGTGGGATAAAGGAGGGCAAACAATGTATTTGGGGGCAATGGAAGGGTATAAGAATGGGTCTGCAATGGACGCTGAAGTGTATAACAAGAAATAAAGCATACACTGAAGGACTAGGTGTGCGAAGGCATATGTGAGCAAAGAACATGTGAACTGAAGAACAGACCAGTGGTTGGTAACTTGTATGGAACCATTTGAATGTACACAGACAAAAGATATAGTGAGGAACTATGTTGTTTCAGGCAGAAGAATGGCTAATAGCTATAATGAAGTCATATATCGAGGGTGTAAGTATTTACAAACAAGTATCAGAAATATAGGTCAGGAACAGGGGCAGGATAACTTATGCCAGAGAAGATATTTTGGTAGATATGAATGCCTTGGGATAGTGAAAGGAAAGAGAAAGTTCACAGAGATAGCTGGAGATGAGGTAAGCATACAGTACTAGAAAAGGGAGAAGTTAGAGCAACAGCTTATGTTTGTAATTTATAGATTGTGCTCTCATCTCCTACTTGTATCAAGTATAGAATGATGACACAGAAAGGCTGACAAGCTTGCTGTCTGCTCTACATCAACGTGAACTTATGGAACGGATGGAATGAGAAGAAAGGGTATCTGTGCGCACAGACAAAGGTCCAAAGGCACACAGAAGCACGGGCCAGCAGCATACACAGACGTGTGGCTTCCGGGGCACAAAGGGAAGGGTGGATGACACTCGGAGCGCGCACACACGCCGAAGCAAAGAAGGCAGAGAAATGCGTAGGCACACACCTGCGGGCAGGTGTGCAATGACAACAGCTGGCCGGCCACGGCGTTGCCCCAGCGCAGAGGGCGAAGCGGCGGGGATACGGGGCTCGCAGGGAGCCGCCGGCAAACCCTCCCGGGAGCCTGCCCGTGCCAGGAGACATCCCCGCGCGCGGGAATCCATGGCAGGAGGGCGGGCTGGGCGGCAGGAAAACATGGCAGGCAGCGTGCCCTCACGCCGGGAGAGCGCCCGGGCGGCGATGCAGGAGCGCGGCGGGGCCGGAGCGGAGCGCGGAGGGCAGGCGGGAGCCCCCCCGGGGAGGAGGGAGCCCCCCGGCCCCAGCCTCGGGCGCAGGGACCGGCCGCCGCCGCCTCCCTGCAGCTGGCGGGCACCGCGGCACGACGGGCCAGCGGCGGGTGGAGGCGGGCGAGCAGCGCCTGTGGCGGCACGGCCCGGCCCGTGCGCCCTGTCAGCCTTCCTCCCGCCGCCCAGGACACCCGTGGCGACGGCAGGGGTCACCCCGGTGCCGCTCCACTCACCCTTCGCTGGAGGTCTCCTCCTCGGCCATGGCGGCGGCGCGGCGGCCGGGAGCTGACAGCGGAGGAGCGGTGGCGGTGGCCGGGAGCGCAGCGAGGGACAGCGCGACGGCGACAGCACCAGCCATCACGGGCTCCTCCCTCTCTTCCTCCCTCCCGCTTGCCCGCCCGCCGCCTGCGTCATCCCCGCGGGGCCGCCCAGCCCGCAGAGTGGCCGCGGCGAGCGCCGCCGTCCGCGGATGGGCAGGGCCCGGGGAGGCCCCCGGGGCTGTGTTTGGGTGTCGTGCGGCCCCAGGGAAGGGTCCCGCCGGGAGGGGAGAGGGTCCCGGGCGCTTCCCACGCGCCCACCAGCGGCCTGGCTGGAGTAAGGCTCCCAGGGGTAGGGCCCGTGTCCCGTTGCCTGATCCCGGGATGAGGCCCGTGAAGAAGGGCCGCGGCTTCCCGGGCAGGCAGAGGGTCGTGTCTACCCCGTGAGCCCTGCGTCTGGAGCGCACTGTGCTTATGTGTACATAGTGTAGCTGTGTGCACCCTGTACACTGTGTACATTGTGCACATACACTGTGTACAATCACAGTTTGTATATACGTGTACATCCTGTAGTGTGTACACGCTGTGCACTACACTGTATATAGATGCTGTGTTCATATGTGTACGCACTGTACACGCTGTGTACATATGTGTACATACTGTGTACACACTGTACATACTGTGTATGTGGCACAGCGTGTGCATGTGTACACACTGTACTGTGTTACACACTGTAGAACGTACATAGACACTGTGTACCTATGTGTACACATTGCACATACTGTGTACATACCTACCAAGTGAGAGTGCTCCCCGCTACCTCCCCAGGGAATAATGTACAGGTGGGACCCAACACATGGCAATTGCATCGGAGAGGTGGCCAGGCCTCTGTGACAGTACACAAGCTGACAAGTAAAGCAGGAGAAGGTAGAACCTAAACAAAACTCTCAGCCCTTCCACAAACAGAGATCTTTGGACAACTTGCATAGCAAGGCCTGCAGAGAGGGCAGAAGAGGCGGCCAGCAGAAGGTTTTCAGGTTTGTAATGTTTGTTTTTATTTATAAGAAGCAAATTAGGAGTTCTGGATGCAACTTAAACACTTACCTATCCCTAAAATGATTACAAGTAGGATAACTATTGCAATTGTCATCTTCAAGTATTTTGAAAGATTTAAGTGAAGTTGTGTCCACAAGGAGGAGAATGCTGGGATGTGTTTGTTTTAGACAGCATTTAATCTCACAATATTGGTTGTGTTACTGTTCAGCTGCGTAAGACCTGCGTTCATAGTGAACAAACAACAAACCTTAACTGAAATAAAGCAGCAAGGTGCAGTGAGTGGAAGGAGTGGCGAGAAGTTTATAAGTCTTGCGTTTCTTCTGAATTTTGTCACTGAGCTCTGAAGCACTTTAGAAAAACAGAGGCAAGGATGATTACTCTTTCTTTTGGTTTCTGAAATCCCTTGATAAAAGGCATAGGGTTAATTTGGTAATAGCTGAAATAATTCTCATCTAAAACCATTCTGCAATTCAACAACAGCGATTGTTGAGATTACACAATCTCAGCTCAAGTTTGTTTGGCTGTGTCACAATGCTTTGGCAATCTGATATTTTTCTCATGAGAGTGTATTTCTTTTTATTATTGCTCTGAAATATTTTATTTACCAAAAATATGGCTATCATGATCACTGCAAACGTTTGCAATGATGCTCTCTAGAATTTGCAAACAGCCTGAAACAGTAGCTCTGAATGCTATGATTTTATTTCTTCTTAATTTCAATCTAATAGTTAAGTTTAAAACCTTGTAAGTGAGATTTACGCCCTACTTATGGAACATGCAAGTGTTCAGACACAGTTATCTCTGCGATTTTAATTCAGTGGTGCTCTCACAAGCACTAACTGCTTACGCTTGTTTAAGAATTAAATGTACAAGTAGCCCACTCCCACTTAGCAGTCCTTTCTCTTACTAAGGAATGACTCCGTTTCTTTAGAGCTGATTTGATTATGTGGATAAACCAGCTGTACTTCTGTGCCTGAAGAAATGACTGTGATAATGCCAATAGAAGAGAGTTGTGCATCAGTTGGCTAATGTTGCAGTGTAAATGGATGAAGGACATCTCTATCATAATGCAAAGCAAATAGTTCAGATGAGTTTTTTCCCTTTTTTTATTTCAGAGAAATTTCTGGACACTGAAAATATCGCTAACTTTTAGGGAATGGTCCCTGCTCCTGTTTAATATCTCACTTCTTTATGTTGACTTTCACTGGGACTTGTATCTGGCCCTCTTTATTGAATAAGTAATATAATTCTCTTTAATAAGTGGTATGTTACCCAAAGTTGCTTTAGAAGCCAGATTTATATTTTCAGATCCCATCATCTAATATAGATAAGATTAAAATAGAAAGGCTTTCCTCTCTCACAGTGAAAAAATAAAATTGAAAAAACCCCAAGCCAACAGATGTCTGCTTGCTTTGTTTCTACCCTTACAGCTTCCATTGTAACACTCCTTTTTCAGGGCAAGCATCTTTTCCTGCTAGCATCAGAAGAAAAAGAAAGTACTTTTTCCTAGCAGAAGAAAAGCAATCCAGCTGACTTTACAGATCCTCCTTGTCCTGGACTGAGATTAAAAAAAATCATTCTCCCTACTAGAGAAAAATTCTGGGCAACATTACAGAAGTTTGAGTGCCAAAGACATCTTTCTTGCTCTGAATTTCACATAATGCCTTTGAGACTATGTTAGAGGCCAGTTCACAGTAAGGGTCACTGTTATTAGCTGTTTAACGTTTGGGATTGGACTATCATTTACATCAAAATTCTTCAAATACAGAGAATTTATCTATTATATGTACTGTGCTTGTGATCCTGCTTTTGATCTAGCAGAAATAGCTGCTTATCAGCTGGAGCTTGTGACTTAATAAAGCACAAAAAGAGAGCAATAGTGTTTATCACCCCCATTTTTTATAATGACCCACTTAGTAAGCTACTTCTCCAAAGTGCATCGCAAATAACTTGCTAAAATCAGCCTGAGCAACCAGTGCAGAGAGGGTTGACTGGGCCAAGTATTTACATACTGAGGTTGTTTATGCTTGTTGTTTATATGAAAGTGATAAAAACAACAGCTTGATCAAAGTAATGTCATATATTTGGTAGATCTGATTTGGTAGCAACAATTAAGGTGGCACCCCAGCTCACAAGCAAAGGGATTCTCACCAGTGGCAACCTGGCAGTGTTTCAGCAAGCCTCTTCCTGACTACCATTTGGCCTCTGCAGGCCCTGTGTTTCTTGCTCTCACAGATCCTCTTGGTCTAAGTGTCTACTCCATATGTTCTCCATCTTTTAGTTCAGGCATAACTTCCAGCAGAAAATCTGAGCCTTGCATCCCAGGTAGCCCAGGCTGAAAAGGAGAGCCACCTTACTGTGATGTTTTGCGGGGTCTCAGGACAGCAAGGAGAAAGCAGAATAAAACTGACTGGTTTCTGCAAATTAACCTGTTTGTGATGGCAAGAGGACCTTGAAGCCATTGTAGAATGTCCCTGGGAGCTCTTGTCCATGCTTTGCTGTCAGTGAAAGATTTCCTCTCTGCCGTGCTTCTTCAGTGGAGAAGCCTGTTTGTCAGCTGCCCCAGGGACTGGAGGTGAAGGTGTTGGAACTAGCTGTGGCTAAGCCTGAGAGGAAGCCCAAATAGGGTGGAAGACTGAAGATTTATGCAGCTCTCAAGATGTGTAAATGAGGAACTCAGCCCAGAGTGCTGTTGTCTGTGTTTCTCTAGGAAGAGCTCGTGCTGTTGCTGAGGTGAGGGAGGAATCCTGACTTCAAATGAGTCTCTTCTGCCTGGTTTTGGACTGCAGTATTATGTCAGTCTGGCAACTGGATGTTTCAGCTTTGGCTATGTCACTGAAGAAAGGAGAAGTTATACAAATGTCGGTCATTAGTGGTGTCTGGAGATTCATATTACCGGCCCTTTTAGACCCCAGTGGTCTACAAGGGCACTGAAGCCCCCTGGGCAGCCTGTTCAAACTTCTAATATGTTTCACTGCTTTGTGGACTCTGTCACAGTGCTCCCCTGCAAATTTAAATGGCTGTTTGAGACCGATGGCACCATGCTTGTTGTGTTCCTAGTGTGACTGCTTCATGGTAGCCTGTTTCCTAGATGTATCTGGGTGTAGGAATAGAGTTTAAAATAAGTGTAGTTCAACTACTTGAAGGTCCTCATTTTACCTGCATCTTTCAACCAATATGTCTCTGACTCTGGTGAGCATTAGGAGGCTATTTCTACAGATACCCAAACTCCTGGAAGCTGTGAGGGATGTTGTTGACATGGGGCATTCTATCTGAAGCGAGGCCAGTGTTTCACTATAGGCCTGCCCTGCATAGGAAAACACTCTGTCTCAGCCTCCTGTTCTTTCACATCCTTGCTGTGCAGGAGGGCAAGCTTTCTTGTGCCCCTTCCATGACTCATGTCTGATCCTGCTCTGGGAGCAGGCTGTCTCTAAACAGGAAAATCAATGACATGGTGGCCGTGACTGTAAGGGGACAGTCCTAGAGAGAATGTCTGGGGCAAATCAGAGCCTCTGGTGAATCTGGCACTTAAATGAAAGAGTGTAGTTGAGGTGAGCTGTAAGAAAAGTTTTGCTGGTTACTTCACCAGGGTCATGTGATGGGAGCAAAGAACATACCAGTCCTGACTGAGCTGCTGTCACACCATCTCAGAGTGGGTTTGCATTCAGAGCCCCTGTCTGCCCTGTAGGCACCATTTTGAAACCATGCCCACAGCAGTTACGGTAGAAAGTTGAGCAACTGTGTGCAAGAGTCAGCTACAAGGAGGCCAGGAGAAGTTTAAGTGCTCCAAGGAGTGAGTGAACTGCAAATAGAAGTGCCTAGATACAGATTTTTTTAATATATCAGTATCATCAACAACTGAGTCCATGACAGGCTTTGTTGCTAGGCAGAACTTCCATCTTGTCCTTCTTGGCTATTCTAGAGTATATGACTCACATGTGATTAACCTAAAAATTCCCTCCTAGACACAGGAGTGGCTGGGGAGAGACAAGGTCTCATATTTTCAGGTGGGTGGAAGAGTGCTTCCATCAAGGGTGCTGGTGACTGTGTCTGCCTGGGTCATATGTG